AAACACTAAATTTTGCATTCACTATATGCACACTTTACCTACACGATCTCATCTAAAATTTTACATCAATTATGTGAGGTTGGTCTTATGAGCTCAGTTTTACAATGAGAAAACTGAGAAGTTTGAGAAGTTAAACACAAGGCTACAGAATAACAAATAATAGAGCTGGTATTCAAACTAGCTATAGTTGTCTCCTCCCACTTTACGACACAGCTCCTCTCTGACCTAGAACAATGTTGAGGAACTCAGAAAGTTGTCAACTTTGTGCCATCCCTTAGAATGCACGGTCAAGTCTGATCCAGCAAACCCAAGGGACTTGGAATGGTATTCTTCCCCCAGATCACTGCATGAGATTGTCTTCTTTTGTCTCCTTCCTTTTCAGCCCACTCCCTCCCACCTAACCTCTCCTTATCATATCAGCAAGTCCAGAGTTGAATTTTCAGAAATTGAATTGGTGGAAAATGGACCAAATAGAATAAACAGTAGAGCCCATGGCCAGGACCTCCTTGCTCTCCCCACCCCCGCCAACCAGTCCAACCAGACTGATCTCAACAGCTGTGTCCCCAATTCCTGCCGCTTGTCCCCACTATTCTCCACAGACCTACTTTTCCAGGAACTTCTTCCCTTGAGGAAATGGGAACTGTGACAACATACCAACTCATGCAAGCCCCACTTCCTTCTCAGATGTGGATGGATACCGTGACTCCTAATTGCTCGTCAACTCAAATCCTCACAGTCTTTTCTCCACTCAGTGGTCAGAATGATGCTTACAGACTAATACCAAATCATATTGCTTCCTGACTTCAAAGTTCCAGTGCCTCCTATCACACATGGAATAGGTCTAGTGTGCTTATCATGTCATATGTAAACTGACCACTGGATGCCCCTCAACCTGATTTTTCCCTTCCTCTCCCTTTTGTTCTCAACCTATTAGGCACACTGTTTCCTTTGCTGTGCACAAATAAAAAGGAGCACATGAGCGAGTAGTGACTCAGGAGCATAGGTTGCTTAGGAAACAGAAGAGAAATATTTAAAATCTAATTAGTATCCTGATGGAAATCCAAAAGGCTGTTGCATCCATAAAACAAGAACAGGTCCCTGTGAAACAAGAATGGAGAGGGCACACAAGAAAAGGACAAAGATTTCTCACAAATTAAAGGCACAAATATCAAAATAAAACATTTAATAGTTAGGCTAAATAATAAAATAGAGATAAAATCCAAATTAGTGTCCTGAGAACTAATATTAGAAAAACCTTACAGCAATTAAAGCAAACGTATTAAGAAAGATATGAGACCTATAAGATGAATCCAGATGGTCCAGCCCCCATACGGTAGGTATTCCAGAATAGAGAACAAAAAATGAATGGAGGAAATAATTCAAAGAAATAAAAGAAGGAAAATGCCCTGAGTCGGGGAAAACTGAAGAGACGTGGGTCTTCCAGTTTAAAAGGAGCACTAAGCATGATCTCAGGGTCATGAGATTGAGCCCTGCCTCAGCGTGGAGCCCACTTAAGATTCTCTCTCTCCCTTTTCCTCTGCCCCTCTTCACCCCAAAAATAATAATTAAAAAAAGGAGCACTAAGAATTAAGCAAGATGAATGGGGGGAAAAGATCTAAACCTAGACACACCCCAGTAAAATTAAAGCACTTCGGAAAAAAGGAAAGAGAATTTCCAAAATCTCCCGAAGAGAAAATAAAAGCTCCTATGAAGAAAAAGCAACCTACAGGTGTCAGATTACTGATCAGCAACAATGAACGCTACAAGAAAGTGAAATGATAACTTCAAGATTTTGAGAGAAAGTTTGGCACTGAGTATTCTATCCCTGGCCAAACTCTTAACATAAGAAATGATTATCAACACTCAAACAAGCAAGGACCCAGAAAGCTAATCTCCATGGCATCATTTCTGGAAAAAATTATTTGAGGAGTTATTTTAGCAAAATGAAAAAAGATTCCAAGCAAGAACACATATAATCTAAAAAATAGTATAATGCATTCAAAAGCGCAAAGAAGAGATTCTTGGAATGACTGTATGCAGCTTGCCCTGAAAAAAAAGTAGCTCAAATTAAATCAGGAAGTTAGAAGTCTCTTTGAAAAAACAAACAAACATGGAGTTCATTCAATACATATTTTGAATACGAAACTAAAATTTCACTCTTTTTTCCTGTGAACACGAAAATAATAAAAACAATACAGTCCCCAGTAGAACAAAAGCTGTCCAAGAAAGTCACAGGTCTATATGAGGCAAATTAAAATGTGAACCAATTTTGAGTAGTTGCTGGGCAGGGGGCGGGGTGGGGGGAATTCCATTGACCTTGAGGCTTGGAATTTTTTTCTCCAAGAGGTACAGTTTTAGGGATGTAGGATTGCATTTCCTTTTTTAAAGGTCTAATCACCCAGTTTTTTTCTTCAGTGATTAATACCTTCAGAATCATCATATTCATCATATTGGAATCACTATGTTTAATTTGAGAATTAATCTATAGACATATAGACAAAGCACATGGAAGACTTAATTATAATTACAGAAAAATAATCCTTGACAATAAAAAACTAATGATATCACTGACAAGCCAAGCATAGAAGAGGAGGAGGAAACATGGGGAAAAATATAAATACAGCAACTCTTGTATCCTACTTATGGGGAATCAATAAACAATGTCAAAAGTCAATGTCAAGTCAGTTAATTAGAGGAGTAAGGGAATGTTTAGGAGCAAGAGAAGGGAGGTGAGTGTGTTAAATTCAGTATTTATCAACAGGTAAAAATATCAACAGATATTTTTAAAGCTTACCAATCAAGAACTAGAAATATATAAGCATGCTATTTAGAGTTCGGTAGCAAGCAAGCAGAAGAACTTACAACAGATACAATTAAAAATTATTTGGGGGATGATTTGACTTTTTATTTTATGTCCTCTATACTACTTATTATCTTTTTAATAAGTGTGGTAGACAGAACAGTGATCCCCAAGGATGTCTATTTACTCATCCTTGGAACCTGGGATTATGGTACTGTACGTGGCAAAAGGGATTTTGCAGATGTGATTAAGTGACAGATCTTGAGGAGGAAGGGGCCAGGAGCCAAAGAGGCTTCTAGAAGCTGGAAAACATAGCAAAAAGGATTCTCCCTTACAGTCTCCAAAAGGAATACAAGTTTGCTGACACCCTTTTAGCCCCTAAGATTCATTTTGCACTTCTGACCTGCAGAACTGGAAGAAAATAAGTTTGTGTTGTCTTAAGTCACTCAGTTTGTGGTCATTTGTACAACAGTAACAGGAAACTAACACACTCCGTGTGTATTACTTATACTACTTTAAAAAAATTTTAAGGAAATAGAAACAAACAGATGTAAGCCTGTTGCTGGAGGGAGGGTGGGAAATGGGATGAAATCCCACCCTCTTTCCTTGGTGAAGGCAGGGAAGGCCATGTTTTGATTTTGCATGTATTGGTTTTAAAAGCTTTAACCAGGCTGGAAACACTGCAGGAAGATCCATTGTCATGGAAACCCAAACACTGGATTATTAGACATGGTTCTGTTTTGAAAGACTTTGAAGAACTTTCTGCCATCTCACCCACCGTGGCTGCCCAAGGAGGTTGGCCCAGGGACCAAGCTGATGCCTGTGCTTAAGGATGTCTCTGAGGAATCTAGGCCCTATGAGGGCGTGATAGGCTCACTCATGGCCTTTTATTTAGAAATTGTGTGGCCATCAGTTAGAAGGATTGGTGAAAGATCCCAGGACAGTGCCTAGGAGAGAGAGGCATAGCACTGTTACAGCCAGGTAGGCAAGAGACCTCCCTTCTTTTATCCCATCTCCTCTCTACCATTCCTCGGGGTGACTTTTTTTCCCCAGTGCTGGGACTTTACACTTAAGAAGTACATAGCAGGATGACTTCTAAGGACATCACTAATGGATACTGATACAGTGATTTGGAAAGCACCACAACTCTCAGACTTACTGGTGATCACCTAAAAAGGCACTCTTCACCCCTACCCCTTCACTTTGATCACAACTGTGTGCAGGATTTAAAACCACCAGAGATGTCCTTGGTCGTCAGTCCAGGAAATCTGGCTGGTGTAACTCAAATGAAATACAATCTTTCTTCCACTGAAAAGTAGGAAAAGAAGGTGGTGACAGGGCAGGTGACAAGCCTAATTGGGAATTTGGAAGTGTAGTTAGGGGGAGGTGGGGGACTAAAAGATTGCATTACAGCTCCTTTTTGAAAATTTCTTTATCACAACACTCAACGCCACTTGAAAGGATCTGCATGTATCTGAGGCCCTGGAGTGTTGATGTTTTTCCTGCACCTGCCAAGGCACTCCTGAAACTGACATTCTTTTTCCCAGCCAATGGAATCATTCTATTAAAAATTGGAATGAATTGACTTTGCAGCGCTTTGGTTCATGGAAGAAATAGTCATTCTTAACAGGAAAAAAACAAAAAAACAAAAAAAAACCAACCCCACTTGGTGAATAAGTACCAGGACAAAGACAATGTTTAGTCAAAGAACAGGGAAAATAAAGTACTCAACCTAGGGACAAGAATTTCTCCTTTAAGGGACTGTTATTATATGATTGAGCCAACATATAAGGTAGCAGGATAAAAGGACACTGACAGATCAGTATAAATCCATCATGGAGCCCATTCCCCCAGTGAAGAAATTGCCTTCAGGTGAAGCCCAATGATTGGCCCAAGATCTATTAGGTGGTAAGTGGCCGAGCCAGGAATTGAATGGAGATGTCCTGACTCCAAACCCAGTGCTGCCTATTTATCAAGTTGCCCAGCTGTCAGAAAGACTTTGTGATGCAAGCTGTTTGGAAGCATCTATCACTTCTGCTCACACTTTCTTAGCCAAGCAAGCCACATATCCATGAGGCAGGACGTATAAACTTGGGAGTGTAGTGAAAAAATGAGAACAATGATACAATCTGTACCATTTCCGTCTGTCCCTTGGGCCCAGCAGTGGTAGCCGCTATCGATAATCCATAAATTAGCTCACCATCCTCCATTTGGCTCTTCCAATCTCTCGGTCACCAATCTCCTGCACTGGCTCCTCTCTGTGTAAATATTCAAGTGGTTTCTGCTTCTTCGTTAGGCCAACAGTATCTGCCACATCCACATTTGAAGGCTTTCTGCATTTGAGGATGTCCTAGGCACAGATAACAATGTGTTGTGTGGATTTTTTTTTTTAAGTAGTATATCTGAAAATACCATGTGAGTAATAATCATGACTGTGATCAAACTTGTATCAGTTATAGTTTGGTCCCATTCTGAAAGACAGAAAATCCAAGGCAACAGTGGCATGAACAAGAAAGAACTTTCTCTTGCACGTAAAACATGCCTAGAAATGAGTGATCCAAGGACCTGATTTGGTAACTCTGGATTCATCAGGGACCCAGGATGATCCCTTGGCTTCCACTTCATGCTCCAAGAGAGACTACAGCAATGACAGAATGTTCTGGAACTTAGTGGTTCAGACGGCAGCCTCCTGCCACCCACTCTTCCAATTATTTTGAAAGTGGCTAATTGCCTATATTAACATTTTTTTTTTCTTTTTGGCTTAAAAAATATGTAGACAGACACAATTTCAATTGGCCGAAACTCCATACCTAACCGCAGCTAGCCACAAAAGAGGCTAAGAAACGCTCATCTTTATTCAAGGCAGCTATGTGTCCAGGTAAAAAAAAAACAACAACAAAACAAAACAGGAGTTCTGTTATTAAAGGAGTAGAGGGAATAGACATCCAGGAAAAACCAGCAATTTCTGGCACTCTCCACAAACATTTTCACAAGTTGATAAATTTTGAGTAACTATTTCTGTATTCAAAGTAGCTATAAACCCCAGGGAAGACAACTATTTTTCCATTTGAATTTGAGAGGAGAGAACCTACTTTTCAGAACCCTGAAAGACATGTGATAAAGAAAGTATGCTATCCTCTGAGTTATAGAAGAAATGACATATAAATGACAACAAGTTGAAACAGAAATTTGCTACAAATGCTATTATACTGATATTCACTAAAACTAATGTAGTCAGTGTTTATATAACACTTTTTTTTTAGAATTTACAATTACTCTCATTAAATCCTCACCAAAAATTTGTAGTCTGCATTATCATCCTCATTTGATAAATGAGAAGGCTGACATTTAAAGAATTTAAGTGATTTTCCCAAGTTTAAAAACAATGTACTAAAATTAGTGTCCTCGGAGTCCAGAGTTCAGAATCTGTGTTCTTTCTTCCCCTCCAGCATGCCTCCCTTTGTGGAATTTGACAAAGCACACATGTCTCCATGTTGGAAGCAGAGGATGACTCCCATAAAATCTCTGTGTGACATATAAGGACACTAGAGATCTGAGCTATGTGACCTGCATGACTCATTGAAGAAAAATTCCAGCCCTTTGTTGCAAGTTTGTCTTTCTGTAAACCCAAGGGGGTCATGCCAAAAGCTACACTTTCTTCTAAGTGAAATGTACAGGCAGTGAGGCATGGCAGCCAAGAATTCTGCCCACATGCTCTGCTTCCTGAGACACTTAACTGCTACTGAGCATCTTTCTGCCTCCGTTTCCATCAACACTCCCTAGATTGCTAGACTTCTAGGTGGGGTAATCTGGGTTTTTAAAAAATAAGCACCACACACATGTTCATTGCAGCATTCACAACAGCCAAGAGGTGTGATCGATGGATGAACGGATAAAGAAAATGTGGTATATACATACAATAACATATTACGCAGTCTTAAGGAAAAAATTCTGTCACATGCTAAGACATGGATGAACCTCGAGAACATTATTCTAAGCCAGTCACAAAAGGAAAAATACTGTGTGATTCAACTCATATGAAATATCTAAAGTAATCAAAATCAGAGAAACAGGAAATAGAAAGGCTGTGACCAAGTGCTGGAGAGAGGAGGGAGGACGAATTCGTTTTAATGGATGTAGAGTTTCAGTTTTGCAAGATGAGAAAGTTCTAGAGATCTGTTGCACAACAACGTAAATATACATAATGCTGTACACTTAAAAATGATTCAGATAATAAATTTAGTGTTATGTGGGTTTTTTTAATCACAACTTTTTAAAAAGAGAAAAAAAATTACAACTAATACACACACATGTAAGAGGTAGGGTTCTCCAGGCCAGAAGTAGGAGCCTGGCCCAGGAATCATTACAGAACTTGGAAATGCCAATCTAGGCTACAACTAGGTAACTAAACTGTAGCTTTTGGGTGCACCATCTTTAATCAGATTGGAACTCAGCCACTGAGCTTTTCCAGTCTTTACAGCTAGATGGCATTAAATGCTGCCAATGGAAATCTGCAGAGAGGACAGGGAAAGGAGGTCTGTTGAGACAGATTTTTGACTACTCACAGTGCACAACTACCACAGTGCTTTTCATACCAAAATCACTGGATAAATATTTATACAGTTGAATTAATTGGACTCTAATAGTATCTGGTGTTGACTCTCTTGATTTGAAAGATGATGTCCTCCTAAGAACCAACACACGCTGTCATGGAGTTCCCAATCGTGGGCTTCCAACTGGTCTCAACTCCACATCACTCCAGGTGTTTCTGCGGCTCATGGCTGCGTGCTGACACTGGATCTCCAACTTTTGCTTTCGCTAGGAACTGGATCCTGGGTACGCTTTCCTGACTTTGCTTCTCTCCTCCAACTGGATTTGCTATCCTGCCCATGTCTCTCTCTACTTTTCCCCTCTGCCTTCCTAGACTCCATCTATTCTATACTTTTCCATTTGCTTCATCTCCTCTCTGTTTTGTGTTTGCAAACCTTGGACACAAAATACCATTACATTTAGCACAATCCCAGGGATTCATTGGAACATAGTACTAAGCATCTTCTTACAACAGCCAGTGAAGATTTGATAACATGCCTTCTATACAAAATAAGGACTAATAAGCCATTCTTGCCCCCCGATCAAAATACAATGGTGGCGGAACACTTAGTCTCAGAGGGGGTGCCTTTCAGGGAAAATCTGACCCATCTTCCTATCTCTTACGGTAATCTGAAAATATTCAAATACAAGTTATCACTGTCAGGCACGCAAATTAGCACAAAGGCATATAAAGGCCTGAAACCTGATACCTGTTTTTTATTAAAATAGGAAGGACCACCCAAAATAGCCTGCAGACCCTCTTTTTTTGCCTTAACAGTGTTTTATAATAATTCATTCCTCTGTGCGAGTTCTTCTGAAGATAATAAGCTGAGACTGAAGTGATGGAAACATATATTCTGGAAGATCTCCCACAAGGGAGATCCCAAGACCTAGCCATGTAGCAGACAAAGGCAGAATAATAGCCTTGAGGTTGATTTCTGATCAGGAAGTTCTACCCCTGGCTCAGTCAGTCACCACCTATGGGACCTTGGCTAAGTTATTTAGTGACTCTCAAGCTCTGTTCTGTTCGTCTATCCAATGGGGATAGAAATACTACCAGCCTGATAAGAGTTGTTAGGACAAGTAAAGGAGAAGGTCTATGTAAAGCTCTTAGCACAGTAATTCTTAATACGATTTAGGTAAGTGGAAATAGTGAAAGCAACACAAAACACCTGTTTCTGCCATGAGAGGGCAGGTTTTAAAAGAATTCTGAAAATTCAGAACAAACCGGCTATTTGCGTAGCTGCAATTTATACTTACAACAGTGGGTGGCGCTAGTACCATATCTATCGAGCATGACATGGCCCCTGGTTTTTTTTGTTTTTTGTTTTTTGTTTTTAAACAGCATTCCTTTTCAGTTTTCTTTTCCAGGAATAGCAGCATTTCCCCCTTGATCTTTTAATTTTTGTTATCCCCATATAGCTTCATAGGCTATTTTCAGTAGCATAGTAAATTATTTCTATTTTAAAATGCAGACACAAATTGCCATGGGCTGATTTCATGAAATTTAAAATTTTATTTTGAAGTTTTGCCCTCTTTCTAATTCATTCCCGAAACTTGATTGTATTGTTCTACTATGGACATTGAAACAAATATTTTACATCTGTGGACATTGTTAATCCCAAGAAAGTTCCAAGCCTCTTTTTCTAGGATACCATAGGATGTGTTTATTTAGGAGTGTTTGAAGAAAAGACTTTGAGCATGGCAAGAAAACTACCAGTGGTTCTGAAATCATCTCTCAGTTGCTTGGTGGATATGCTCATGGTTAATTCAGCAGTGATTATAATCGTATGTTCTTTTTTCTTTTTACTTTTTAAATCTTTAAAAAGTTTTTAAAGATTATTTATTTGAGAGAGAGAGGGAGAGAGAGGGAGAGAGAGAGAGTGAGGGCGGGGGAGGGGGACTGGCAGAGGGAAAGAATCTCAAGCAGACTCCCCACTGAGCGGGAGCCTGACTCAGGGCTCAATCCCAGGAGATCATGATCTGAGCCCATACCAAGAGTGGGATGCTTAACTCACTGAGTCACCCAGGCACCCCTATAATTATATTTTCCAATTCAATTTGTGTTGCTCTCACAAATACCTTTGTGAATTTTATTTCCTATGCTGTTGCCATTGCAACTAAGTTCAGATCATTCTCTAGTCCAGCCTGGAAGCTACAGGTTGGACCTTATTTTGTGCATCAGGCTTGAACGGTAACATGGCTCAGGGCGCCTTTGCATCACAGGGTTTAAAGATTCTCTAAGGGTTAACTCAGTCCCTAAGGGTAAGAGGCTCCCCCAGAGCTAACTGTAGGCAAACACACGCTCAGCGCAAAACGTGTTTGTGCAACCACACCCCAAAGTCTTGTTTGCAGTCTGTTCTGTGGTCTGAGCACAAAGGGTGGTGTTAGCAGAGATCAACAACAGGGGCAGGGCTGTCAGCTCACCCTGGGCTGGGAGGTGGACTCGGAGGGTCCTCCTAATGCCTCTTAGGGGAGCAGCACCAGCACCAGCACACCAGCCTTGCAGAATTCAGAATGGCATCCCACAACCCACTGAAAGGCCCATTCTACCCACGAGAACACACTGCACACAAAATAATAGCAATCGGCCTGACCTATTTAAACTTCTCTGTGACAAGTGAAATCATTTTGAAGCTAAATTCTCTTCTGTGTTTAAAGATGGGTTAAATTTAGGGATGCCTGGGTGGCTCAGTCGGTTAAGCGTCTGCCTTTGGCTCAGGTCATGATCCCAGGGTCCTGGGATCGAGCCCCGCATCGGGCTCCCTGCTCAGCGAGGAGTCTGCTTCTCCCTCTCCCACTCCCCCTGCTTGTGTGCCCTCCCTCTCTGTCTCTCTCTGACAAATAAATAAATAAAATCTTCAAAAAATAAAAAAAAATAAACATGGGTTAAGTTTAAGGAGGGGACTGAACTTTGCAGAAACTGAAATACCACACATTACCAGGTAGTAGTAAATTTGGTGAAAGAGCCCCAGTGTTTGGTTTTCATTGTTGTTGGTTTTTTGTTTTTTGGGTTTTTTTGGCCTATGAAGTCCCTTACATGTACAGCAAAACAAGGGAAAAGAGTTAAATATATTATATGATAAAATTCTGATTTATTTGAAAATATTCATTGTTGATTCTGTGAGCCAGTTATGTAATCAGCAAACAATAACAATTTGGTCTCGAATTCATGTCTTGCATTTCCTGGCATTGGATAGAGCAGTCCTCAATCCTGCTCTAACTACAGCGTTACAGCACCTCACTTCCGATTTCTGGTGAATGAGCATAAAAATGACAGCGCTTAAGTGTGATGTTGCTAGTTTCCAAGTTGAGGTTATATGTCTTAGTCTTTGTTTACTAAGAGTTTGGATCACGAGCGAATGTTAATTTTAATCAAATGTCTTTTGTGTATCTACCCACATGATTGCTTATCCATATTGAATGCTTGATGAGATGCACTAATATTTCATCCTGAATCTCTATTTATAGCTGTATTTGTATGATATTTGCACACGTATCAATTTGTATTTTTTTTTCCTCCCACATTTTAACAGGTTGTTCTGCCAGGGTTATGTTGTTTCATACGATAAATCAGGAAGCATTCCATCTTTTCCTATGGAAGAGTTTATATTACATCCTCAACTGATCTCTTCTTGGAATATACAAAAGTATTTGCCTTTATGGCTAGGCCTGCCACATTTTTTAGATGTAATATTTTACAACATTTTCTATGTCTTCTATGCTGTTTGGCCGCCTGAGGTTGTCTATTTCTTGGCTCAATTTTGGTCATTTACATTTTCCCAGTGAATTCTGTTTGTGATTTTTACAATTTATTAAGTAAGAAATATAGGCATAATCTTATGGAAATTTGCTCCTCTAACTGTGGTCCTATGTCCTTTTGTATTCCTACTTTGCATATTTATGTTT